CTCTGCCTCCTCCGCCTCCCCCCCCTCCTCCTCCGCCTCCGCCTCAGCTTCCATCTCCGCCTCCGCCTCCGCCTCCGATCCCGCCTCCTCCTCCTCCTCCTCCTCCTCCTCCTCTCCTTCACCTCCTCCTCCACCGCCTCCGCCTCCGCCTCCTCATCCGCCTCCGCCTCCGCCTCCTCCTCCTCGCCGCCTCTGGTCCTCCTCATCCTCCTCCCCCTCCTCATCCTCTCTCCTACCCGCTCCTCCTCCTCCTGCGCTTCCTCCTCCTCCTCCGCCTCTCCTCCGCCTCGCCTCCTCTTCCTCCTCCTCCTCTTCTCTTCCCTCCTCCTCCTCCTCCCCCTCCTCCTCCTCCTCTCATCATCATCATCATCACATCATCATCATCATCGCACGCAAGTCAGCAAGCTCATCAGCAGCATCAGCATCATCATCATCGCATCATCATCTCTCATTCATCATCAGCATCATCATCGGCATCACAGCAGCACATTCAGCATCATCATGTCATCAGCATCAGCAGCATCCATCATCATCATCATCATCATCAATCATCATCATCATCATCATCAGCACATCATCATCACATCTCTCATCATCATCATCATCATACACATCTCATCATCCTCATTCATCATCATCATCATCATCATCATCATCATCATCATCACCATCAGCATCATCATCAGCATCATCATCAGCATCATCATCATCATCATCATCATCATCAGCATCATCATCATCATCCCTCTCCTCCGTCTCCCTCTCCTCCTCCACCTCCTCCTCCTCCTTCTCCTCATCCTCATCATCCTCCCCCTCCTCATCATCATCGTCCTCCTCCGCCTCATCATCCTCTTCATCCTCCTCCTCCTCCTCATCCTCTTCTCCACCTCCTCCTCCTCCTCGTCCCCCCCTCCTCCTCCATCCTCCTCCTCCTCCTCCTCCGCATCCGCATCCTCATCCTCCTCCTCATCCTTCTCCTCCCCATCCTCCTCCTCCTCCTCCTCCTCCTCCT